AGACTAACATTGATCCGTACAGCATTGAAGTAAGCCGCTGCTTGTGGTTGATCATGGATCAAAGACGACCTTCGTGCAGCAGCAATCTTGTTCGCTCCGTCCACTCCTAAATGCTACTCGGCAAATTAAATACAGCTTCCGATTTTTCACTGCTTTGCCTGTCAAATAAGATAAAATGGTAGTGAGAATAATGTGCTTATATGCAATCAAATAGACTTCCACGTTATCATGAATGAATTGGTATCTGGACGAGCAAAAATACACTGAAATGGTACGTGAGTCAATAAATTATATTCCCTCCGGCCCATAAAGATAGTCTTATTTCTTTTTTCATACAGATTAAGAAAATTTAATTAATATAGTTGAAAGAATAAATTTACTATCACCTTTCCTAATATACCCTTACATTAATGCAATCAATATTCAACATAAATTATATTTGTGATAACAAAGAACATTAAATAGTGGCATGCTAGAAAACTAACATATCAACCATACTCTCAAATAAGAAACGAGACTATAATTTGAGACAGACGAAAAAGGAAAATAGGACTATAATTTGGGACAGACGAAAAAAGAAAACCGAACTATGTTTATGAGATGGAGATAGTAAAACCTTGGAATTGTTTGAAACAAGAATCAAAACAATCATATATTCAGAGAACAAACATGGAGGTATATAAACATTACCTGGCATTATTAATCTGTTAACAGATCCTGAATAAATCTAAGGCCAGACGTATATATGTATAGTATAGCAAAAGAATAAGGCAATCCAGGAGAGGCGAACCGACAACCTAGAATACAAGAATCTGAAGGAAAACAGTGCAATTACGGAAAAAGTTAATAACCTACCTGTGAATACAAGAAAGTTCCAAGAATTGCGATGGCGGCTCCAAGAGCGTTGATGGGTTGAACAGGTGTGCGGAAAATGATTATGGAGGAGACAATAACAGAAATACGTTTCATGGTATTTCCGACACTAAACGTCAAAGGAGAAATCTCGTCTAGTGACATATATGACACTTGATTGTAGAGGTGATAGAACACACTCTGGGCTGCCATCCACCTGTCATGTGACGCATAAAACATGAGCAACCGTGGAACAATAAATACAGAAAAATCCAAAAGGAAGAAAAACGAAATCAAATTCTTTTTTGTTCCCTAAAATCCAACGACAATAATTGTCCAGCAATTTAAAAGAAAAAAATAATGAATTGTAAGGAAACTAGTTGTACAAGCAAATCCTCGAGACAAAATACCATAATGCATTGCAAGTGCATTCTTAGTGAAATCTTCGGTCGAATGAGACTCAATTGGTAGCATCTTACGGTATCTTCATGGCATTACATATGTACGGTGAAATATGTTTAGCAATACTACTAAACGAACAAAATTTTAGTTACTTTTTCTATATTTAAATTGTGTAATGCTATCAAGTCCCACTTGACCAAGTGGGCATCAATGTCCAAACAAAATAAAAGGATATAAGAGTAGGTGAGTATCATGTGATTTACCAAATGATCTGGGGTCCAATTTGAGACACAGCTTCTTTAAAACCAAGTGCCCACATTTGGGGCCCCTCGACAGCAATTGCAAATGGGGTCAGAATCAAGAGGGAAAGCATCGATAAGCAGGCATAGTAGTTCATTCCGCTCACTGACTTTCCCTTCATGCCCTTCTTTGAAAATATATTTCGGAAAACAAACGCCAAATTCGATATCATGGCCCCCATAAAACCTGAAGTTGATAGCCAACAACCATATATAAATTAGAAAGCAACCCAAATACTGGCCATTGACATTCAAGACACCCAATAACCTAATTCAATTTACAAAGATACCATAAAATGCCAAACGAGTCCCCTACTTTAACAAGAACTAATGTACTTACGAAAAAGATCACCGCAATTTCATGAATGAAAGAAATATTTGATCAAATTTAAATCTATGATTGAATCGCAATCCTCTTTTCTTTTGCAAATTGAGTAGAAACAATAAAAACGACCAATCAAAGTCGATGGACCAGATAACTACAGATTTTACACAAAGATCAATATTTTACCAGTCATGTTAAAATTGAGTTCAGTAAGAGCAGAAAGTCCACAACCACCAATGATCGGAACAAGAGACAAGTAAACCGCGGGAGGAAATGTCTCCCCCAGGAGAAATCTCGAGACCAAAACACTGAAAGCCGGTTCACCGCTCTTGATTATGTGAGTAAATGAAACAGCTACCTTCGACATACTCACAGTAGCTGCTACATGCCCAATTGTATGTGCAACAGCAACCTATACACACCAACCCAACATCAACAACAATCAAAGCTTAGATCTTTCCATACAATGATTCATATGAAATCGTTAAAATGGAGGAAAAACTACAAACTACCAAGAAACCATATCATAAAAGCATAAACTAAAGCAAACACAGATCGGAAAATCACTATAGGCCAAAAAAAAAGAGTAAGCAGATCATAAAAAGTGAATTAAAAGCAAACCCAGACGGTGTAAAGCCCTATATATGCTTACAGGAAAAAGGGACTTCCAAAACTCAAGATCAGTTTTCGGAGTTTCAGCAATTCTAAGAGCCCAGGAAACAAGCATGATCAATGACCCAGCAGCTAGTGAAAGAGTTGAAGTTAACCACGGAAAGGGAAAAGCATTCAACACTTTTTTGTTGTATATATTGAAGATCACATTCAGAGCCCACCACGTGGCAAAATAAGTTCCGATCTTCACTTTCCTCGCCGCCTCAGATCGGGCCAGTGTAGAATCCCTAATCGGCTCGGATCGGTCCGCTTCATATGCCTTGCACCGGACCAAAGACTGGTCCTTTTCTTTTCCATTTTTCGAAGATTTCTTTAAACAAGGGAAGAAAGATTCTACCGAAGAGATGTGAAGAGGCTTTGAGAGTGAAAAAATGGAACTCCGGCTAGACTTGACCACCGGGAAAACAGGAGACTGAAAGTTCGGCGACGGAGACCTTCGGCGGAGGAATTCTGAGCCGGGGATTGACAAAGTTGACTGCTTAAGAGAGATCATTATCTAAAGATTGGAAATTTAAAGCAAAAATCACAATGAGGTGATTGACCTTAAAAGATCGCTGGTTGTTCACGGCTCTTCTTCCCTATGTGAAAAGAACCTGAACAACCATGTGTATTAGAGTTTGCAGCTGTGTATAAACTAATGCAAATTTACTAATAAAATAAACCCAGAATAAAGATTGAGAGTGATTTTCACAAGAGAGTTCTTTTTGAATAAGGGACGACCTTTCCGGGGTCCAGAAGACGTGGCAGAGCTCAACCCAAATACCAAAATACTGTGGGTTTACTGTTTAGTGCGTCAGTCGTGCCGCCCGCCGTACATTGAAACCACCGAATATAAGAACCTATTTTATTTTCAATACAACTCTGCATAAATTTATTTGCACAAAGTTTTTACAAGTGCACACACGATAGAGGACCCCACATGTGAGGTTCACCGTCTTGTGAAAGCCCCTGTACAAGCCTTGTGCAAGGGGCTTAATTCTTTTCAATAATGCCATGTATATATCCATCGTGTATGGAAATATCATTCAAAATGTCAACTCGAATATATACACTGATTTATTTTTGTAGGATGTCAAATAAGAATAAGGCCTTGTTTGAAACTCAATCTTGTCAAAAAAAAAAAANGATATATACACTGATTTATTTTTGTAGGATGTCAAATAAGAATAAGGCCTTGTTTGAAACTCAATCTTGTCAAAAAAAAAAAAATGATTTTTAGTGTATTGATGGAAAATGTGTGATTGAAAATTTTAAAAAAGTGAATTTACGTGTAATATTATTTTAATAAAAAAGTGTGATTGAAATGAGATCAAATTATTATTGAAAATTATATCTTGATAGAAATAATGGAATTCAAATTTATGGATATCAATGTGTTAGTCCGAGTTAGTTCCTTGAATGAGTTGACATTTGACTCATATTCACAAATTAGGCTCAGCTTGATATGCGGGGGAAATTACACTAGAGCAGGAATTTAAATTTAATATGAAGTATATTTAATAAAAAATCAAGTATCAATTTAATATTGATAATATGATAAAATTTATCCTCTCAACACACCACAAACCTTAAATTGTTTCCCTCCCGGTAAAGTACCATAACCCCTTTTTCTCCATCACCACTTCTCCCTCCTTCACCCAAAATCCATTTCGCCACAACCATCCACCCCTTCTCACAACACCATCATCACATTGTAGAAGCGCGGCTTGAAAGCTGCATGAGGCAGTGCCTCTACAAGCAAAGTCAAGACGGCGATGGGCCTCTACAGGTTCTTCGATGGAAGGGAACATCATGGAGGTTAGGAGTAGGTTCAAAGTGGCGAATCACCATTGTTTATAATGAATCCCCCGCTGTCGCCTATCTTCACAGCACTCCTGTACTACATTTGAGATTTGAAGCTAAAATTGGATCTATGAAGTTGGATCTGAACATTTATTTTTTCCAAAGTCGATGCTCATATCTGCATGTGGTTTTAGTGGCAATAGTTTTGGTGATGTGGTGGTTGTGATTGGATTTGGTGGGTTGAGGTTTTAGTGGTGATGGTTTTGGATGGTGATGTGTGGTTGTGTTTCTAGTGGTGGTGGTTTTGGTGACGTGGTGGTTGTGATTAGATCTAGTGGGTTGTGGTTCTAACGACGGTGGTTTTAGATAGTGTAGCAGTGCTTTCAATCGATGACATTGGTGGTTCTAACGGCAGTGGTGTTGCCGGAGGTGTTAGTGGTAGCGCGTGATGAAGAGTGTTTGTGACTAACTATTTAGGTGTTTGTGACAAACTACGTGATTGATTTGTGACCAAATTTGGTATTGGGTTGGGATTGAGCGTAGGGGTGAAGTGGTTGGTATATGTGATGAACTATTTGGTTTACCTGTGACTTTAAAATTCGAAAATATGTCACTAAAAAATAATTTGTAACCAGTAAATCTGAAAATATGTGACTAATAGATAAATTGTGACCTATATATTTTTTTTTTTATCTATGATCAATGAAATAAACCGTGACCTATATTTTTTTATCTGAGACCAATGAAATAAACTGTGACTAATAAATTTTTTGATTTGTGATCGCGAAATAATACGTGACCAATTAATTTGATAATATATAACAAATAAATAAGGTGTGACCTTTAATTATGAACTTGTGACCATTAATTGTATAATTTTTACCTTATTATATTTAATTAATTAGCTAAATTTTGAGTTTTGCATTTTGAAACTTGAAAATTGAATTATGTATAGTTAACACCTAATTTGTAAATTTTCCCTTGATATTGTGGTTCGTGAATTTCATGGGTCGAGCTAATTCATATTTATAAAATATTAATAAAACGAGCCCAAAATGAGACTCAAAAAAATTAGTATTCAATTTGGCCCATGACTAATTTCAAAATGAGTTCAAGTTGCCAAATTGACTAAGTCCAAATGATAGTCCATAAGCGACTCAGGTCATTTGTCACCCCTAATTAAATTTCACTAAGGCTCTTCAATCTTTACCAAGCGTGTCGTTTATGACTTTAAATTACTATAGTTGCACTCATATTCTTATCTTCTAAAACTATGCCACCAATATTTTCGGCTAATGTTTACATGACATTTAAAGTAATGTTAGTGCCTGTTTGATACCACAAAATTTTCCTTGAAAAATAGAAAACAAATTTCATTTCCCACTTTTGGCTTTTTTGATACCCAAAATCTTTTAGGCAATTGATGATATTAGATGGCGTAGACAACCGCCTACGATAACGAGCAAGGTAAGACATTACACGCTGACGTAAGACCGTCGACCTCCATGAGCGTTCTACCTTTACGCGAGATCGTCGACCCCCCTATGGGTGCTCTACCTCTATGCAAGGTAATCGACCTCCCGTGGGAGCTCCACCTCTACACAAGGCCATCGACCTTCCATGGGCCATCTACCTCTACGCATGGCCATTGACCCCCCGAAAGCGCTCTACCTCTACGCATGGCCATCGACCCTTCAAGGGCGCTCTACCTCTACACTAGATCGTCGACCCACCGTGGACGCTCTACCTCTACATAAGGCCATCGACCTTCTATGGACGCTCTACCTTTACACGAGGCCATCAACCCCCCATGGGCGCTCTACCTTCACGCGTGACCATCGACCCCTCATGGGCGCTCTACCTCTACGGTAAATCGTCGATCCATCGGAGGCGCTCTACCTCTATGTGAGACCGTCGAACCCCCAGAGGCTCTCTACCTCTACGAGATACCGTCGACCCCCCGGGTGCTCTACCTCAACGCAAGACCATCAACGAGCATGGAATTACCTATAGAGTCATCTCAACACTTAGCCATAAACTCTCTGATGAATTGACAATGTTACATGACGGTTACCACAGGCACAATTTGCAGGCGAGAAGTTAAGACTTTCCACTCAGAACGTGGGGGTAATGAGAAGGCCAAGGTGGGTACACGTGGCACCACAACCACCGGGTTCTCACTTGGCTTCCAACGTCTATAAATATCCCTGAAGGAGACACAAGTATGAATGACTGCATATTTTTCAGCTATCTGAATTCCGTCTTTATTTCTCCTAACACATATACCGACTCTTACGCCAGAGGTAAAATGGGGGAGAAAGTCCCACTCTCATTTTTTAAGTTACACACGCCATCGGAGTAGCATGAACGCCAAAAGTCATCAGGTAGATTAGGAGGTATTGTTCTACCACCATTTCATTTAGTTTTCCACCTTTGGCTCACATGTGCACCAATTCCTTTTTTTGGGGAATTCATTTTCCCATATGGTAGGTGGTTTTTTGTTTTCTACCTTTTTTATTTTTATTTTTGATATTGGGAACAAATTCTAGGAATAATTGTAAAAAATGATATCCCTTAAATTGATAATTTTCATGTAAACACAAAGTCAAACGATCACCAAAATATAGATGATTATTGGATCTGTGGTTCTTTTTTTTTTTTTTTTTTGCAATGGAAACAAATTTCATCTTCAATACTAGTAAATTCTATCCATTTAATTGATAATTTTTATATAAAATAAAGTCAAACGAACACCAAAAAATACTTTTATTTCAACATTTTCCATGAAAAATTATATCAGTCAAACACAATAATTAACAATTCCTAGTAAAACAATTTCTAAGAAATTTGAATTCTCTGAAATTCGTTTTCTTTCCATCCAAATTCTATCTTTGCAATCAAACGGACCATTAGACAAATTGTAAATTTTCCCAGCAAGTGAATGGGAACGTAGATGCCATCATTTTTAAAAGGTTTGAGAGGTAGATGTAATAGATGATCAATTGAAGAGAATTGCCAGTCAAATTTACCCAAAATTTAAAATAAAAGAGATAAAAAAAATAATCAAAATCAGACAAAGGCTTAGGGTGAATTTGATTTACTTTTTCGTTTTCTATTTTCAGTTTTGAATTCATTTTCTATTTTCCATTTTGAGAGATTATTTTAAAATTGTAGAAAATGTGTTTGATTTGCCATTCTGAAAAACTGCTTCTCAAAACGAAAAATCAAAAAATGCGTTTGGTTTAAAAATTTCGAAAATAGTTTTATGATATTTTTTTCAATTACTTTTGATTATTTAGCCCTCATTTGAGCCCCATTATTTGAGAAAAAAAGATGAATTTTTCGATAGTATTTTAATATCATTTTAATCATACATTTTTCAACAAAATAATATTACACTGTAAAAATTTTTCCTATTTTTAACAACACATTTTCCATCAATACATTATTCAAAAATTCATTCTTCCCCACAAAATGGGGCTCAAACAAGGCTTAGTAAATCATATCAAGTTTATGCAAATATGTAATAAAAAAAATATAAATTTTAAAGTTGATAAAAAAAGAATCATTGTAAGATTGAGAGATAACACTCCATTTAATTACAAATGTGAAAAAAGCAAACAAATTCTATGTAAGTTGGAAAAGAAAATAACACCAAAACCATTAAAAAGCATTCTCCACTCAATTGGCCAAAAACATGTTTTAAGTGTTTATATCTTGAAATTCGAACTTAATTTCCACTTTCTTATTAAACAGTTAAAGTAAAAAAGAATCTCTAAGATATGACATTTTCCATGAAATTTTCGCCAAAACAAACCCTAAGATTCTTAGAGGAGCTTGGGACAAGAGAGACGAAAAGATTGGATATTTTGTATGATTTTATTAATTATTTTAATTTGAGAAATTTTTAAGTTCATTTTTCTTGTTTTAGATTTTTCTCAAAACATTAAAAAGTTATTTTGAGTTTTAGATTGTAAAATTTTCCTTGTTTTTGAAAACTCATTTTTGAAAATAATATACCAAATATGTTTTGAGTGGTTTAGAAAATTGAATATTGAAAATGACCTCAAAACGACAAATTAATTCTCAAAACATTAAAATGTTATTTTGAGTTTTATGTTGTAAAATTTTCTTTGTTTTCGAAAACTCGCTTTTGAAATTAATATACCAAACATGTTTTGAGTGTTTTAGAAAATTGAATACTGAAAATGACATCAAAACAACAAATCAAACGCACTCTTAAATTCCAAAAGCTTTTTAAAAAAAAACCCTATTTTTCGAAATCAACATGGGAGACTCAAACGTCTAAAAAAAAAAATTAAGAAATCCCAATCTTTTGAAACGGTCAGCTTGTCAAAGATAACTCATACATTGATTAAAAAATAAAAAATAATAAAAGGAACTCGAGTGCCAACAATTTTCCCAGAACAAAAATGATCTCAAGCACATAAGATAAAGTTGAACAAATAATTAATAATTACAGAAAGCAAATTATTTTATCATATACTATTATACTTCAGGAAAAATTAGAGCTGGCCCTCCAAACCTTTCAATCATTATAGTTTTAAAACCCTACCTTCAAAAGTAAGGATATAAGTCCTCAATTTATTTCAATTCGTGAAATTGGGCCCTCATGTATAGAAAGCTATAAACCGTCAATTTGAATGTTATAATCGCACATGATTTCATGTGATTTATACTGGAGGACAAAATTGTCAAACCAAATAAGATAGTGCTACACTTACAAGAAAAATTCTACAGCTATTTTACAAAATACACAGCAGTGAAACCCACCCCCATAAAATATTCACATGAGGCCCACCTCACATGTGCCTGTCCTATAGAACATCTATGAAAAATTATCTGTATACAAAGCATTTTCCAACCAAATAATTTCCAACTTAGAGCCTGTTTGGGAGTGATTTTGAGAATTGATTTTTTGACCATTAGGAGAACAGTGAGGTCCACTTGTGAGAGAAGAAATCAAATATGATGACTGAAATAATGAAATAACGGTCAAAAAATTAATTTTTTGGGTGAAAAAATGAGCCCAAACAGGCCCTTACTTCGTGAATGGGATTTGTTGGATGAACAGTGTCCCTATCCATTTATCTTTATCCTTCATGAATAGTCGCATGCAATCATGCTACAAGTCATTCAAAGTTTTCAACACAAATTCATTCAAGATCTCACTTTTAAAAGTTGAAGACCAAACACAGTAAAAGGTTGGAGAACCCGTCCCTAAGTTTTCCTATCCTTTTTTCTTTTTTTTAGCATAAGGGTGTTTGTGCGCGCGAATTTAATTTGTACTATATTCTTATAAAACAATGGAGAAAATCATTAACAAAAACGAAATCCATTTTGGCACCAAGCCCATCATATTGTTTTCTGTGTACTCATATCCTGTCAGTATATCAGATACTGAAGAAAACATGAACCAGATCAGTAGTTTGAATTGAATCCAACCGTATCCTCCTTCCATAGTTTTGGTCTAAAGATTACTGTATGTTTCCATCATCTGATAGTATAAATAACTGGAAACATCCAAAATTTCAACAAGTATCACCCTCTTCTAGCTAGTCCACTAACTATACAAAAGCATCAGAGAAGCAAAATTCTTCGGTGTTGTCAAAAATAAAGCAGTCCACAGCAAAATCCCCTCAAACAAGAGGTCTTCAGTTGCAATAATTTGCACTGAAATACACATGGTGAAAATATATGTTAGTATGTAAATGGATTAAGATAACTCTCTTCCCTTCAAAGAGTCAGCTTTAATATTTTTAGCTTGAACAGAAATTCACCGACCACAAATTATCTATAGAAGAAAGTCCGAGCAAGAAGTAGAATATTTATTCATGCAGGATAATCAGAAATTGCAGTGCAATACCAGTTCTGAACATTTGCTTCAAGGCTGCTCATTTGCACAAGCAAAAGGAGAAGAAGCTAATTTTCTTAAAAAAAACCTTTTAAATAGAACAGATACAGACATACAGTGTGAAATTGGGCCCTCATGTATAGAAAGCTATAAACCGTCAATTTGAATGTTATAATCGCACATGATTTCATGTGATTTATACTAGAGGACAAAATTGTTAAACCAAATAGGATAGTGCTACACTTTCAAGAAAATTCTACATATATTTTACAGAATACACACAACAGTGAGACCAAGCTCCATAAAATATTCACATGGAACCCAGCCCACATGTGCTTGCCCTGTAGAACATCTGTGAAAAATTATCGGCATACAGGGCATTTTCCAACTTAAATCGTGCCTGGGATTCATTGGATGAACAGTGCGCCCTGTCCATTTATCTTTATCCTTCATGAATAGTTGCATGCAATCATGCTACTAGTCATTCAAACTTTTCGACACATATTTCCATAGTTAAATAGATTAAGGATTCAAGATCTCACTTTTAAAAGTTGAAGACCAAACACAGTAAAAGGTTGGAGAACCCATCCCTAAGTTTTCCTATCCTTCTTTCTTTTTTTTTTAGCATAAGGGTGTTTGTGCGCGCGCATTTAATTTGTACTATATTCTTATAAAACAATGGAGAAAATCATTAACAAAAGAGAAATCCATTTTGGCACCAAGCCCATCATATTGTTTTCTGTGTACTCATATCCTGTCAGTATATCAGATACTGGAGAAAACATGAACCAGATCAGTAGTTTGAATTGAATCCAACCGTATCCTCCTTCCATAGTTTTGGTCTAAAGATTACTGTATATTTCCATCATCTGATAGTATAAAGAACTGGAAACATCCAAAATTTCAATAAGTATCACCCTATTCTCGCTAGTTTACTAACTATACAAAAGCATCTGAGAAGCAAAATTCTTCGGTGATGTCAAAATAAAGCAGTCCACAGCAAAATCCCCTCAAACAAGAGGTCTTCAGTAGCAATAATTTGCACTGAAATACAGATGGTGAAAATATATGTTAGTATGTAAATGGATTAAGATAACTCTCTTTCCTTCAAAGAGTCAGCTTTAATATTTTTAGCGTCAACAGAAATTCACCAACCACAAATTATCTATAGAAGAAAGTTCGAGCAAGCAGTAGAATATTTATTCATGCAGGATAATCAGAAATTGCAGTGCAATACCAGTTCTGAACATTTGCTTCAAGGCTGCTCATTTGCACAAGCAAAAGCGGAAGAAGCTAATTTTCTTAAAAAAACTTTTAAATAGAACAGATACAGACATACAGGCAAATTTCAATCTCTCCTCTCTCTATTCTATCCAAGTAGATATCATTTAATTGCTTCCCTCGTTCCACAAGATTTCTTTCAACCAAATGATTCTTTTTAACCCGGACAACCCCCCTCCATGACAGTCAAACTAGGACCATAAAGATTAGTAGCATTTCATCTTCAACTCATCAAAATAGAATTATGTACTTGCTCCCCCAACCCAACCCAACCCAAACCACCACCACCAACCAACACACACACACACACACACACAAAACCACAACTTACCCTCGGAAAGAAAGAAATAAACTAAACGCTATTTTCATGTAACAAATAACAAGAACAAGCAAGCAAGAAAAAACACATACAGGTTGTTTAAAGTTTCACATGAACGCTAGTGTGCAATGCTTGGAGCCTATGGAAAGTCCACGCAACTGATTGCCGATCTTCTTTTGGTTCTCGAGATCTCCTGAAAGACTTTGGGAACAGAACAAGTTTATCTTCTCCAAGACAAGTGCATTTTTTAGCAAAAACTTGAGTAAACGCATTTCAGGATTACATCCTTGGAACTTCTGAAAGTTCACCATCTTGAGGGTAGAGAGGACACAATCAGGTACCGATTTGGGCATGTAATCACCTTCACCAGTCCCAACTCCCTGAATGGAATAACAGTCATTTTTAAGTTGAGTATCTTTCTCTCTACATGCCAATATATCCACGGCATGTGTGGTAGGGAGGATTAATAACACTGCACAGTATTAAGGAAGAAAAGGAAGGCTAACATCTTGTATATTACATTGTCCGGTCGGGCCCAATACTGCGTACCATAACATGCACATAGGTTACAGATATCTACCTCCAAAAACATAAGTGATTCTAACTTAGGCAAGAATTGGAGAAATTCCAACAACACTCCAATGAAATTGTTCTCAAATCCTCTGCTTAATTCCAAATGTGTCAAGTTCTGAAACATAGGAATATGATCTAGCACATCATCTGCAAGGAAGAGACACTTCACAAAGGAATAACAACATGTCAAGATAAGCTCAAAGATGAACGTTTTAATTAACAAAACTTCTAGCATTGTATCGGCATGTTTGATAAGCTGGAATATATAGTACTAGATAGTATTGCATAACAAAAAGAATTAAGATTTTGTCCATTATACTCTTGAATACAATCTAATACTACTTACCAAACTTGCCCTAAATGATTTGTTGCAGAAAATAATAATTACCTTGATGGTGCCACTGGATATTCTCAAGCTACTTATATTTTTCAGCCCTCCGAACAGCTTAACAGTACGACATGCAACTTCCCACCGCCTTTCACGAATAATGGGGATGTGAATTGATGCAAAGGCCGACGAAGAAAGATCACACAGATGGATTTCGTTTGAAAGATAACCACTGTACTTAAAAAATGTAAGATTTCCTGCATCAATCTTGATTTCACAACCACGTAGATCATCTACAGAACAAAATGGCAAATCATCTATGGTCAAACTCTTCAAAGAAGGAATAGAAATTGTTATCCTGCTAAGATTCATCCATTCACAATCTAATACAGCCAACTCTTCAAGAGAAGGACAACTAGAAAATAACTTCTGCATCGAGTTACCCTTCGGAAATGTGACAAGACAAAGCTGCAATTTTTGAAGGCATGGGAATGAAATATAAGTAGGTAGTTGAAGGATACAATTCATTTCAAATTTTACAGTCTTAAGTGATGCATTGTCAAAAACACAAGAAGGCAGCATGAAAGGCTCATCCACAAAAAGACAAAGGTCAAGCTCTTGAACGTTGTGCCCGATAGCGGCTGAAACCCATTCATGGACGTGAGATGCACTGAAGCAAACACGACAAGAAAGGCGGAATTTTTTTATGCTCGATGCATCTCTTAATAGAAGCACCCTCTCGACGAAATTCATGAAATGAATGACCTCATGTGAGTGCCAAATGTTACCCCGACTCGAATACAACAATGAGTCGTCAAAGTCGATGCTGGGAACGGATGTCCATAAGAACTTCCACCTCTTAGATAATATGCAGGTTGCTACAGCCTCTTTGGTTGGAAGGAATGAAAGAATATGATGAAGAATGCAATCAGGTAAATGGCTCATTTTATCATCTCCATTATCAATATTCTGATTCTCAGAAACTTTTTGCTGTTTGAAGCTACCAATCATTTGGCCCTTTCCCCTGCTAAGTACAACAAAGATGTTGGTAAGAGTTACTTTAATATAGTTACAATATTATATGTAGCTAAATTAAAAAGTAAAGCTAATTATATGTCGAAATTGAGTGAAAAGAAAGACATATGAAACAAGCATGATTTAACCACCAGGAAACTTATGGCAAAGAGTGGGTTGCCTATAAACAGAACTATTCGAGATTTGTAGTTTAGCCACACAGATTGAGAGCTAGCATTTGTTAAACCATTGAATGGTACTACTCCGGATTGTCTTAATTCCCATGTTTAGATAGCTAAATAGAAATCCTTATTGAACGTATATAGGAATCTTTTTTTTAATGTTATTAAACATCAAGTGGAAATGCATCTTCAGTCGAGGCCTCAGGGTTTTTTATAACATTGAACCCATTGAAACTTCAACTATATACCCTCTTGGGCAACCTTATAGAAAAAGCCAATAGAATAAAAATAAAAAACACGAATGGAAAACAGGAAAAATCAATCTTCAGTCATACCATTTTGGAGCCAGATGTAAAATCTCATAAACCCTATAACGAAATTCATTCATCATGAAAAGATTGTTAAATAATTAGAAATGCCACGATCAGTTATGGAAAACACATCACGAAGATGTATGATCACAGGAGATCACAACAGCCAGTAAAGGAAGAACAAATCACAACCCCTTAAACCCTTCTTTCCCAAGAAAAAACACAAGATAAAGAACAAAAAAAATTCCGCGATTCTGAATCCTAACATAACATAGCAAGTCATTCTTATCCAAGAAAACTGTAGAAACACACAAAAATAATCCAAAAATAGCAAAAAAGAAGAGATTTTTACATACTGATACCCATAAAAATTCGATTTTTATATACATACATACCCAGAAAAAAGCGATTGCGCTCAGAAACTGCAGATGCTGATGGTTTTTGCATTTGCTAGATAATTTGGTTCGAGTGTGTGAAAACACGTGAAAAGCATAGCGGGCGGAAGGCAGAGAGTTCAATAAGAATCAATGTGCCAGGTATAAATATTTCACAAGAGTGGCAACTGGCACGCGTATGATGATATTTAGAGGACACTCTTGTTTGGGAATTTTCGAGATGGCCTTTGCAAACTCTTGGATTATCATTTAAAATATTTTTCAAGATACTTCTTTTTAGCTTTGCTCTATAATTTTTGGCCTGGTCATTTTTTTCTAAATTTGAGTTATATTATACTAGTATATACACTTCAAAAAAACTTTGGTTGCATTTTGAGCCTTTATTATTTTCAAAATACATTTTTCTTTCTCTTATTTTCTACCACACACTCTTTAATAAAATAATATTATACACAAATATAATTTTTTCCTTATTTTTTAATCAAGCATCCTCCGTTAAATCATTATTCCAAAATGTATTTTAAGCAAAAAAATAAAATAAATAAATAATGAAGGCTCAATCTAACTTTGAATGAATAAATAAGTTGCTTGCTATAATAGTAAATGATATAGCATTTTTACATAAGTAGCTGTCCGTTCCTTTGACTTAAAAATTTGACATACTTATTTAGGGGCTGTTTGACAAACATTTTTGTGTAAAAATACATTTTAGAATAGTAATTTGATGGGAAGTGTGTGGTTGAAAAATAAGGAAAAGTTTTTTATTGACGTGTAATATTATTTTAATAAAAAATGTATGATTGAAAAGAAGAGAGAGAAAAATGCATTTTAAAAAAAATGGATACCAAACAGGGGCTTAATACATAATCGTAACTTTTAACTTAAATCAATTCAACATTCAATATGTATTTCACTAAGATCGTAGGAGAGTTTGTTATAATCATTTGAAATCTATAAAGATTTTGAGCATTGGATTAATTTAGCCCCCGTTTGAGCCCCATTATTTCTTATTACATTAAATTAAATTTTTCTTTCTCATACTTTTAACCACACAATTTTCAATAAAATAATATTACACGTAAATCAAAAACTTTTCAACCACTTATTTTTCAAAAAAAATACTATTCATCTCATTATAATCTACAAATAATGGGGTTCAAACGGGGGGCTTAAATAAAAGTTTAATATTAGGGACGGATTTAGGATTAGATCTAAGATTGGGCTAAAAAATATCAAACCGAACTAATAGGCGAAAAAAATTACATATAAAAATTGGTTTTTTATTAAAAATATATATATAAACAAGAAAAAAAATCTTAAAAAAACTTCTTGAACCTGAGTAGGGGGACTACAGCCCAGCTTAATCCTGCTAAATCTGTCTCTAATAATCATTATTTGTCAAATAAGTGTGTCAAATTTATAAGTAGGAGAAACGATTACGAAATAATTGAAGTTCAAATAGCCATACATGTCTCTTTCTAAAGTAAAGTCGTTGTGGCTGTCTTTTTGTAAAATATTTTAAGAAGCTAGAACTAAATTGAAAGTTTTCCAATCGTTGGACCTGACAAGGAAAATTTATTTTTGTCATTAATAAATTATTTAAAAGACTAAATTGCACAATTTATTCCAAAAGGGACTGAATTACAAGTTTTCACGAGTGAAAAGTAACACGGATTATGAGCTCCTACTTAGGGATTTATGTTGCAATTTTTTATTTTTTTGTTTAATGTCCGGAGACAGGTTGAAATTAATGCACAAATATATAAAATTCAATATTCTACAAAGAGCGCATATGAGGAAATGTCGTGTCTTCATGGCAAGCTTAAAATTAAGCAATCAACTCGCTAGTCTCTAGTTAACTGCTTAATGCGTGTCTAGGCTCGTTTTATTAATTATTTTTATTATTTTCCTCCTTTCTAAAAGTATCTTATTTGACTTTTATTTCAAGATTTTCTTTTGAAAAATTGTATAATTGACTAATTGTGATAATTATTAAGTAAATATAGTATTTTATAATTTTAGATGTTTAATATGTATTATTTTAATTAAATATTTTTTAAAATAATATTACAAATTTTATTTTATTTTTTTACGTCTATCCCTCCCTTATGCTTGCATAACTTGAAATTTGACCTCAGTCTAAAAGCTGACTAAGGATGATTTTCTTTTGAAAAATTGTATAATTGACTAATTGTGATAATTATTAAGTAAATATAGTATTTTATAATTTTAGATGTTTAATATGTATTATTTTAATTAAATATTTTTTAAAATAATATTACAAATTTTATTTTATTTTTTTACATCTAGTCCTCACTTATGCTTGCATAACTTGAAATTTGACCACAGCCTAAAAGCTGACTAAGGATGTATGGATATCTTTTTTTTAAGGATGTGTAAACGTCTTTTCCTTTTTTCTTTACACTTTTTAAAAACTAGTAAATTTGCACATAAAACTTCCATTTTTGCAAAACGATCCCCACCTTACTTTTTTCTTTTTCTTTTTTTGCTTTTTCTTTCTTTCTTTCTTTCTTTTTTTATTTTTGCTGCATTTTCACCATATTTACATATTTTATTGTGAAAATAATCATTTCGATCAATTTTCTCAATAAAAAAAAATTGTGAATTAACGAATATATCATCCTATTTAAATAAAATAAGATGAAATATAAATAATTAATTGCAATCATAGTACCAATTTTTTTTTAAATACAAATGAGTCCAAAATAAATAATTAAAAAAATCATTTCATTGTTGCCCAATGCCCACCGTAATATTAGTTAATCTAGTGTTGGATCTCATGGTCACCGGTCTTCATTCTGACCTACCAACAAACATGTAGAAGATGCACACTGTAATTTTAACAAATCTTTCACTTGTATCATCAATTGTTGTGAAATCCCAGTAACACAGATTCATCACCTTCCAAATCAAGAATTGCCAGAAAATGCCACCACCGACATTGGTGGATCAAGGCACGGGCTCGACCGTGTTATAGCTCATGTCTGCCCCTAAAAATGTCTACTTTTTTCTTGGTTTTTTTTTAAAGATAAATCCATATATATTTGTATTGTAGCCCGTGTTCAAACTCAAGACTAGATTTACCACTATCCCCTCGAAGATTTTCTTTCTTTGGCCTCGTCGTCGGGGGTAATAATAGCGTTAAAGATGATCTTTTGCCGCCACAGTTGCAGATAGGGAAGTATATAGACCGGAAGATCCATTGACTATCACAATTGAAATAAAGAAACACAACACACTTTTGATTGAAAAACTTCTTGTAACATAAATTAAGTTTCAAACTTTCAAAATTAAAACTCATTAACTTTCGATTTTCCTTTTAATTTTCAGGTTTAATTTCAGAATTAAAACTCATAATTTCATAATGTAATTTATATTTTAATTGGGATAATTCTCATTATTGTGGGAGTTAAATTTAACACCCTAAAAGGGAGTCAATTTTAATAGTTTGATGCAACAACTTGAAGTATTATCATTTCTACAATTTTATATTATTTTGACAACTTGATGAAAAACTTGTTCTTTATCTCCCTATGGTCAGACCCATAAAAGGAGAATCGATTGTGAGCCAGATGTGGTTTTTCTTGAACCCATATAGTGTCAAAATAACTCGTATGAAAGGGAGACAACACAACTTTATGACAGTGTTTTCAACATGACTCTCAAACCTTACATTCTAACTCTCTTCTTATTATTGAATTATAATGTATTTGATTATGTTAATTGATAATTTATCTACACAAAAATTACCTATTTTTCCTAACAATCTAAAGTCGTGTTGGGTCATTTATTTGTAGATCTAGTTTCTCTATTGAATACTTGATGCAACTGTATATTTTGACTTCTCGTATTTCCTTCTTCCTTGAATGTGAACTTGCTTCGTGGCTTTAAGTATGAAGCCAATACTATAGTGCTTAATATTAGATTGTGTTTTTATAGATTTTTTTTTGGCCATTATTTGAATGTAAATGAACATAATATTTTTGCTGTCTGTTCTAAATGTTGAACTATATCATGTAATAATAGTCTAAAGGCCATGTCTGAGAATTTTCTATTTATAAATTTTTCTTCTAGTAAATTGTATAAAAAAATTCATTATGGTGAAAGTAAACATTTTTGAATTCCTCACCATTTTATTTAAGATTACTCGTCTCACCTGTTGTGTCTCGATACATTATCCCACCAATAGTTGTGAAAATGCAACTGAAGAAGTTAGCATTTCATAATGAGAAATACTTCTTGTTTTGTTACAAGAGGATTCAGGAAAATTTACTAATGATAGCGTTCGCCATATAAGGACAGAACCACTATTTGCAACGTATAGATAGTCATTAAGAAAACAGGAAAATACTGAAAACAAGTTAGGCTATACTTCTAACTATGAGAAAGTGAGCATGCAAAACTAGTATTATTTCATGCACATAAATTGGTTGGATTATTACAGGAAAATTCTATGATTTTATTTTAAACAAACAGTTAAAAAATTAAGTCCTCAATAACGGGCTTAATTAATATTTTAGAAGATGTTTAATTGTAACTCCTGTAAGTAATAGTGATTTTATTATTATACAATTTAGATTTAAGTTTCATATGAGCACATATTTTAAGCTATTAAGGTAAATGGCCGGTGAATGATATTGAGAAGATATGCATAACACACATATGTGCTATGAAATAATATTCTGCCCCTATTTGTCAAGTTGCTGTGGATTCATATTTTTGTATTTCTTAATTGTTGGAAAATAATGGGTTAAGTGGCTAACTTTGGCACAAAATTTGAGTGGGACCCGGTTGGCTATTTTGGAAGTTCAAGGTTGATTTGCGTTCCCCTTTGTGAGAACATCGAAATCATTTATCTACTTGCCAAAATTGATGTTCGAGTGAATGTGATATTGGAGCTCAAAATATGTCAATTGAAAGGAGTTTATGTTGTTAGAGGGAAACTATTTAAGGTTTGTCCCACATAAGAAAAGTATGAAAAAAATACCACTTTAAATAAGATTACACTTTGGGATGATGTAATCATGTGTAGTTTAGAGGCTCTCCCTACGTACGCATGCAAGGGGCAAATCGATCCGAAATAAGCTTTGGACGTGAAAAATTAGCTCCTTAGAAGAGCCTAAGTTTTGCTAATTTTTTCCCCAACTGACCGTTTGAATTTCAAAACTGTTGAAACTCCTACATTCATTGCC